TGTCTCTCTCTCTCTCTCCCTATCTGTCTATCTCTGTCTCTCTTCTCCCTACATTTATCTCTCTATCTCTTCCGCTACTCTCACCAACTACAGAAGACACAGGTGAAGGTGTAAGGGTGAAGCAGTATATGTGTACAGAGTGACGCAAGGTGAAGGGATGTTTGGGACGCTCCTGTAGGTGGAATCATTGAAGACCTGGATGGTGGCAGTGAGACCCTCAAGTAAGGTGACTCCAGAGGTCAGGGTATCCAACAGAGATGTTCCAAGATAATCTGATTTTCCGACATACATACCGCCATGGAGGGAGAGGGGGGAAGGACTCACATCTTCCCTCCCTCCCTCCTTCCTTACTTCCCCTTCCTTATTCCCATCTTCTCTCCGTCTTTAGTAGTGTCAACTCTTTATCTTCCTTCGTTAATGACTCCAATTGCAGGAGTTTTATATAAGGGTCTTAGGAGACATCGTTATATGGCTCTCACTGTCTATTGGGGAGGCTGAGGAGGGAGGGGGAGGGGGAGAGGGAGAGGGGGAGGGGGCAGGAGGCTGGAGGAGGGGGTGGAGTGGGATCTGACTTACGCTGCCTTTAAGATGAAGATGATGATGAAGATGATGATGATGATGATTCGAGTGTAATCGGAGATGGAAGAAAGAAGCAAAAAATTGAATGAGGAAAAGCTGAGATACAATGGTGAAAGAAGATGGAGATAAAAAATTATACAAAGATTCAACTAAAGTAAACAATGAGTAGAGACAAAAGTTCATAAGAAGAACCAGTTAGTCAAAGTTCCAAGCTCCTGTTACTCTCAAGTTTCACCTTCCTGTACACCTGAGGGCGGAGTCGAGGGAGGACCTGTTAGTTACCATCACCTTCACCACTCCTGCTGCTGTTCGTTGTGGCTTTAGTCTCCTCCACCTTCTCCTCCTCTCCAAACTCTCTCCTAAAATGACCGCCGCAAAACCCAGGAGCACGTGACATCGCCCCTACCGCTGACCGTCTTAAAGCCCACACGGTCGCTCCTGCTGGGGGGCTTGCAGGAGGGTCCGAGGAGACGCCGTCACGGGCCCTGTGTGGAGGTCACGCTGGTGAATAGTCGTAAGGGCTCTACACGTCAACTTGACGACTTTATTCCCGCCGGCTCACATATCACTCTAAACGAGGCTTAAGGCTACTGATAGAGCATTTAAACCCTTCTTTCTCTCGCCCCCCTCTGTCTCCCCTCCACACTCCTTTTCTCTCTCTGTCCCTCTCTGTCTCCCTCCACACTCTCTCCATTTCTCTCCGCACTCTGTCTCTCTTTCTCTCTCTAATTTCTTCTCTTTATTTCATCTTCGAGGTTAAAGACACCATTAACTACCAGGGTAAGTTAACACCCATAGATATTATGGTCTTTTGAGGAGTTTAATGGCGTCGACATTTTCCCCGATGAACTTAACAATCTATAAAGAGTAAGACCGAATACCCTAAAGTGCCATAGATATTTTTTGAGAGATAGAGTCACCCAAGAAAGCGTCCCTGAATCCTTCGAGGTGTCCAGTAGACTAAGGACGCTAGTGGCCGCCCCCTCGCCCCCAGGTACACAAAAGGTGAAAGGTGCTCAAGGTGTTCATGAGGCCGACCAAGGGAGAGGCAGGAAATCACACATCCTGCCAAAGTCCTTAGGAGGCGTTGAAGGATACCATATATGAGGGATATTTACTGTATGAGGGAAGAACAGGAGACGATGATAACGAAGGAGGAAAGAGAGAGTAAGAAGATAAGAAATGACTGACAGATAATAACGAAAGGAAGAAATAGTAAGATAAAATATATTATTATTTATCATATGAAAGAATGAGGAAACTGAAGAATGCAATAATATTACAGTACGAGGTAATAGCAGTAAAAGAAGATAACGAAATAAAATAAGAAAAACAAAATAGAATAAGACAATTTAACTTTTTCTTTATCAGTTGTTGTTATTATCATTATCCTTCTTCCGTCTTTATCAAGATATGAGTCAACTGCTTCGGGTTCACGAGTCTGAATCCCTCGGGGGTTCAGGGTTCAGAGGGACAAACAAACAGACTTTAGTAATTAACTGTACCTTACCTGTCTTAATATATTTTCTTTTTGCGTTACAAGGTGGATATTTAATAGGTGCACAATAAACTAGCCACTCCATGGTAAAAAATACACACACATATACCAGGAGCTGACGTCATGGGGTTGGGGGGGGGGGTTACCTGAGGTTGGGGGGAGGTTACCTGAGGTTTACCTGGAGGGGGAGGTTACCTGAGGTTGGGAGGTTACCTGAGGTTTTGGTATCTTAGTCAGGGTATACAGGGCATTTTGTACCCTACCTGTGGGTACGATATGACTCAGGTACAACACAAGAATAACAGATTAAACAAAGCAAAAACAGAGAAATAAGGAATAAATTAGGAAAATACAAAATAAATCAATACAAAACGATAAAAGAGGAAGAAAATGATAAAACAAAACAATAAAAAATAAGAAAATTACATAAACCAAGGAGGTGGACTAGAGAGAGAGAGAGAGAGAGAGAGAGAGAGAGAGAGAGAGAGAGAGAGAGAGAGAGAGAGGTACGGATTATCGCCTCATCTGGACACAGGACTTCACGATGCCCGTAAAACCTGGCAGGATGTCAGGATTTCCACCCCATCTCAAGGTCCAGCAGCTATCAAGGAGAGGAGGAGGAGGAGGAGGAGGAGGAGGAGGAGGAGGCCAGGAACGATATGGAAAAATAGGAGGGATGGAGAGAAGGTATGGAGGAAAATAGAATGATTGGAAAAGGAAGAAAAACACCAGTGGTAATAAGAATATGGGAAATAAAAACGATAATAATAATAATAATAATAATAATAATAATAATAATAATGATAATAATAATAATAATAAAATAAGAATATTATCACTATTATCATTATTATTACCATTATTATTATTATTATTATTATTATCATCACATACAGTATTCACGTCACTAGCGCCTGAGTCACCACCAGTATTAAGGACACGACCTACAAGACCATAAAGCCTCCTGCTGGGGGCGTGAGAGAGAGAGACATGACACGGTAAGATGCCCAGATACACGCCACCTCCCCCGTCAGGAAGACTAGACTAGACCAGAGCAGACTGACCTAACCTAACCTGACTTTTTTTTCGTTTGTTTGTTAAAATTGTGGATGATGGTAGTGGTGGGATGGTAGTGGTGGGGTGGTAGTGGTGGTAGGGTAGTAGTGGTGGGGTAGTAGTGGTGGTAGGGTGGTAGTGGTGGGGTAGTAGTGGTGGTAGAGTGGTAGTAGTGGTGGGGTGGTTGTTCTGTAGTGGTGGTAGGAAGGGTGATGGTCGTAGTGGTGTGGTAAGGGGGGGTGGTAGTAGGGTGTAGTAGGTAAAAGAGGAGGGGGAGGGGAGAGGTTGGGTGGCGGGGGTGGGGGGTGGCGGGGGGGGGAGGGGTGGTAGTTGTTGTCCACATCGATAACGCCTCTGGCACAAGAATAGGTTAAGATAGAAGCTCCAACACGACCTATCTGAGGGGGATCTCCGGCACGCCCCGCCAGGAACACCGTCAGATACAAGGTCAGGTCCTGTGCTTCTGCCCACCAACAGACAGGCTACACGAGTCAATCTCTCGCCTTCTCTCACCGATAAGGACTCTGTTATCCATCATATTTACCTCCCTTATCTCTAGCATAGGAGGAGATTTAAGCCACGTTTACTGTCGCCTTGAGTACTGAAGAGGTGAATGGGTACAAGGGCGGCGTCTCCATAGGGCACCGCAGTGACTAGACGGAGGTGGTGGTGGTGGTAGTAATGATGGTGGTGGTGGTGGTGGTGGTAGTGTTGGTGGTGGTGGTGGTAGTAGTGGTGGTGGTGGTGGTGGTGGTAGTGGTAGAACGGTAGTAAGGTAAGAAAATCATTCTAGTACCTTACCACCACTACCACCAACACCATAACCAGCACCACACCACAATAACCACTACCACACCACCACACTATACCTCACCTGGATGCTAGAGTGTTTCCCTCCTCTTTGATACCCACCGCCTGTACCCTCACCACTAAGAGACCATCCTATAATAAGAAAACCTCTAACTAATAAAACCAAATCGAAAAAAAACTCCCCGTGGCGTATCAAGATAAGATCTAACCTAACCTAACCTAATCTAAAGAAAATCAATTATAACATAAAGTTAATGGATAATTTTGCTTATTATATATCAATTATTCAATCCCATTTTTTTATTAATTTCAATTTAGAGATAAGAGTGTCTAGTTCATCCTGGAAAAAAAACTAATAAAAAAAAAAGACCCTTCGGATGGTCACTGTAAAATAAAAACCTCGTAACTGGACAACATTCTGTGGTCTCGAAGCCTGACCAAAGCTCTGGTCTTACAATAGATAGATGTTATCAGTAAAACCACAAGACCGACCTTTTGACTTCAGGATACGTAGGTGGGGGGGGAGGGGGTGAGGCAGAGTGGGAAGAGGGTGGAAGGGGGGTGGAATGGGGTGAGGAAGGCTGGAAGAGGGGTGAGACAGTCTGGAAATTGAGGCAAGATGAGTAAAGAATGAAATTTAGGGTGACTTTGAAATCAGTGACCCGGAAACGAGTGGTCAAGAGAGAGCTCAGCAGAAATAAAAGGCTAAAAAGGGAGTGACGCTGAACAGAGTTCAACAGCCTATAATTACTAAAAAGGAATATCAAAGTCCATCAGACAGTTCTCTCCTGGGGCAGTGAGAGAACTCCAAAATACAGTCGACCTAATTTTTTAATACATTTTAATACAAACTACAATCACTTTCTGGTAATTTATTAGGAGTGTAACAAAGAATCCTGTCTCTATAGTAGCCTGGGGTGAGACTAGGAATAACACTAGGAGGTAATACTAGGAGGTAACACTAGGAGGTAATACTAGGAGGTAACACTAGGAGGTAACACTAGGAGGTAACACTAGGAGGTAACACTAGGAGGTAACACTAGGAGGTAATACTCACTCGTTGGGGTTGCTGTTGTTGTACTTGGCCGCCAAAGATCTCATGAGATCAGAGCAGTTTCTGTTCATGAGGGACTCCATCTGCTTGATGGCTCCTGGACCTCCTGGGAGGCCGCCCACACCAACACCCACACCGCCCAATGAGGCGGGGCTGAAGCGATCGTAGGCGGAGGGGATGGCGGCGGGAGGCGTGAAGGCGGGGTTGGGAGGCGTGCCAGGGAAGGAGGGCGTGCGGGTGCGGTGTGAGGCGGGGGACTTGGGTGACACAGAAGGGCTGGGGGTGGCGTGGGTGGCGACGGGGGCGTCACTGCCGGGGTCTGGTGATAATCTCTCTGACTTGACGTCGTTTGTGGAGTCTGATGGCATCTTGTCCTCCAGGCGGGCACCGTTGGGCACCTCGCGCCGCACCTTCTTGCGGCCCTTGGCGCCGTACGCTGCGGCAGCCGCGGCGTTAGCGGCAGCGACCGCAGCGTGTTCCTTGTCTTTGGTGATGGGTGTGTTGTTGTTGTTGAGCGCCAGGTCCTGGGCCGTCTCGCTCTCCGCCTGGTTACCTGCAATAAGACCATCAAGGGTTAACACGGGTCACCTAGCCAAGGTCGGGGCACCTAGTTACTCTGTTTTTGTCAGATTATACACAAATATTGTGGGAAATGATTATAGCATCACTCCTGGGGCACGTCCTGGCCCGGGGCAGCAGGGGGCGGGGTGGGTACAGGATGGGCGGGGTAAGAAGTGATGGTTCTGGGGGCGTCATCGGCACGCGCACCCTCCTCCACCAGCACGCGCCACCCACGCCCTCTACACGCACTCATATACACGCCCTGTACCCACGCACGCACCCTACAAGAATCATTTATTGAAGTAAAAGTACAAAGGCAAGAGAGAGAATACCCCAGGGTATGGGCAGGGTCGGGAGGGAGTCGCCCGGGCAGTGCCGCAGGTGGTGTCCTGACCTCTGCCATGTACTGACATGTCCTCGCCCCAGGGACACACATTACCTGGGTGTGGGGCACAGCTTGCCCTCTGCCCCATGGCGGGGATCTCGTGCAGGCGGGCACCAGCCAGCCGGCCCGACCAGGGGTTCAAAGGTGCAATTTAGTGCGAAGGGCGAGGGGTCGAGGCGATGTGCTGTGGCCTGGAGGGAAGGAGGGGGGGGGGGGAGGTTGGCTGAAGCAAGGAATTAAATTGTCCGGTAGCAAGGAGGACTACAACACACGGGCGTCCCCTCCTCCCCGACATGTGATCAGGGATGAGGTAGTACAGCTTGTGTGGCATCAACACAGTCCCTAATCTGCCGCCGCTTCGACCTGCCTCAGGGGGTCTCCGCCCCCCTCGGCCCCTGGGGTCCCCCCACCACAGTCCCCATGTACCCTTGACCCCATCCTCGCCCGCTGACCCGCCCCGCCACCGCCCTGACCACTTTTTGTGCCACCCCCTGCCCGCCTCTGTCACCCCCGGGCTCGACTTGGCATATAAAAAAAATAAAACTTCAAATGTTAACTTTTTTGTCTTACAGTTTGAATGTTGTATGAAGCCGTCGGTTATCATTCTGTCGTGAAACATTCAATAAGCAAAGATCGCCGCCGTTAAAAGAAAAATGTAAGTAAAAATAATATATTAGTTGGTAACATAATGACGTCAGTAAGCCACAACCAATCACCACGCACAGCCAGTCCTAAAGGAAAGCATCTCATCGCTCATTGGCTAAGGTTACGCTCTTGCAAACAGCATATATTTTACTACATTTTCGCTATATGAAAGAAAACCTGATAATATATACCTCATAATAAAAGAATACAGCTATAATCTTATAACATCCCTTGGGAACTGACATATATATCAAGAACACTGTAATTTAGACCCATTAGGGATACTTGTATATCTGGCAGGCGGGTGGCAGTGACGGGCCGCGAGATGAGAGTTACCTGAGGATCACTCTGAGTTCAGGCGTCACAGTGGCAGGTTCATCGCTCTTACTGAAGCCTGTCTTTTACGTTATCATTCCACCACTTAGACATATACCTTTTTATTTTCAGATTAATAGAAATTAGGTTTCGCATCCGTAAAATATGAGAAAAAATGTCAAATAATGAATAAAAAACACGTCCTAATAAACTCAAAATAAAAATGAATATAAAGAAAAAATAAAATTAAGGAAAATAAACCAAACGAGACCACTTTTACACACAAAAAACGAAACATCAAAAAAATAAATAATAAAAAAATCGGAAAAAATATAACACTCGTGAAATAAATAAAATATTGAAAAAACTATTATATTTAGGTTCTCATTTGACTTAAGAAATTCCATCATGGTGGCGCGGCATAACACCTGAACCACCACCATCACCTTGGGCTGGCCGAGTCACCCTTGATCCCTAGACCATCTTAATTACGCCGTCAAAATTTCACTTGTTATCGGGTCGTATCGGAATGCAGATGGGCGTGGTAGCTGCGGGCGGCACCTGTGGGCGTGGGTGGGCGGGTTGGTTGGTTGGCTAGGTCACCACCGCGCGCCGCCCACTTAACCCACACACACACACACCAGAGAGAGAGAGAGAGAGAGAGAGAGAGATCCTTAACTAAACTCTATGTAATACTTAAAGACAGAATTCAGTCCTTAAGTCCTGTATTGACAGACTGACAGACTAACTAACTGACTGATTCATTGACTGACACCTTAAATATCGACTGACTGACAACTGAAACTTAACAGAAAATGCTTAAAAAAAATCATCAAAAACCTGACATTTCAAACGGAAGGAAAAACTAAATAAGCATCCAATATGGCCGCATAATTACACTGAGACTATACCTTAAGTAGATACATTACAACATCGTTAATTAAGGGGCAAAAAACGACCTAATGTGTGTGTGTGCGTGTGTGTGTGTGTGCGTGTGTGTGTGTGCGTGTGTCCTTCATAAGGGATGCGGGGAGTATGATTGATGCTCCTCCTATGCTCCTACAATGCTCCATGATCCATTATCCATCAAGTATCCCAGCTAGAGTGATAGAGACTGGTGGATAGGTACTTTTGAATGGCCTTGGATAGTATTATATATCCCAGGATAATCGTCCCATGTTGTGGATAAATAGACATGGATAATAAATATATACCTTTGGATAATCATAATCTTCTTGTGGATAGGTTGGATAGATACAATAATCCCAAGCCTGGAGGAGATGGATAGATTATACCAACTGGGTTATCCTCCTCACCATGGGTAGTGGTGTATAGCGATCTAATTATATCGGTGTAGTTGGTCTGTCTGTTGCCGGGCGCCTCACACCTGATCCAGTGATGACCATCTGGACGACGAGAGGAAGAGGAGGGAGAGGAAGAGGGAGAAGCGGAAGAGGAGAGGAGGGAGAAGCGACATAGGAGAGGATGAAGAGGAGGAGGGAGAAGAGGAGGAGGGAGAAGAGGAGGAGGAAGAGGTGGGAGAAGAGGAAGAGGAGAGGAGGAAGAGGAGGGTTAGGTTGTCCACTGTCCGTCCACTCTTCATCTGGGTTGTGTGTGTGTGTGTGTGTGTGTGTGTGTGTGTGTGTGTGTGTGTGTGTGTGTGAGGGCACGGATGGCTGCTTCTCCACCTGTGATGCGTTGACTTTTTTTTATAATATAATATCGTGGTTATTGTTGTAGCTTCTAGAGACATAGTTACTATAGTAGGGTTTAATTCTGCAGGTCGTAGTTAAGTGGGTTGAAGTTAGCTACTGATTATGCAACGTAGTTTTTTTTATATCAGTGCATGTTGCAGGTAATGTGGGTTAATTAAACAACTAAGGGGCTACCTGAGAGCCGTCCTTCTCAACGTGACGTAGTTGTTGTTGTTGTAGTGTGTGTGAGGCAGGTCATGATGAGGTGGCCTGCGGGATGCTGTGACCTCTGGCCCGCGGCTCACGACTCTAGTCCCGCTACAGATGCCACAGTGGTCGCCTCGGGCATCCCTTGCAGCGGCCGCCGGGTGGGCACAGGGGCACAGCGGTCACCCCCCCCCCTATCCTCACCTCCACCCTACCAGCCGCCCACCTCTCGCTCCCTCTACCCTGGTTGCGCCCCCGGCTACCGCAAGGGGCGCGGGGTCACCCCAGCCTCGCTAGCGACGTGTGGCGGAGACCCCGCACACGCGTCGTCGCTCTCAGGATCCCATCACGCTGACGAAGGCTCACCTGTTCACCTTCAACACCTCCGTCAACTAACCACAAAATCATAAATCACAAGAATTTGCAATATGCCATTGCTGGTAATATCTCCTTCAGTACCTTCGTCACGTGTAGGTCGGGGGCAGAGTGAGAGGTGCTCGCCAGGATCTGTCAGCATCGCCTGGCGTGGACGGTATTCAGAGCGTAGCTGGCACATCACAGCGGCCTGTATGTATAGGCCCTGGCGGCTCACGTCATGACGCTGCACTCCACAACCCGGCGTCTATTGTCACCAGAGCCACGGGCAGTCCGCATCTCCAGCGGCCTCCCGACGTTTCTACCAACACCTTGTCACTCAGAGGTTATTTGTCAGACAGTCTCAGCTGGAGTCCGACGTCCAGTGTCCCACTTTCCACTCCAGTTGGACTGAATTACTCACCACCGCCACCGGTGCTGTTGTCACCTCCATCATCAACGAGGGAATAACACCAGTCGACAGTGCCTTCCACCCCGACACGGCCATCCCAATAAAAAAGTACGACTCTTTCCCTCGTCAGACACCGGAGGCCTTCAGAGAGAACCAGCGACGCGTGGCTCCCTTCAGACCAGACCTCCCCTGGTGGCGGCTGTCACCACCCTTTCTATCAGCCGACCATAGCGACAGACATCAATAGCCGCCCAGTCAACCTCTTGCCGACCTACAAAGCCACCCATCCACTACACACAAGCCAGTGTTCATAGTCCCCAACTGTTTACCACATCTATGGCCATCACCTATGTACTCACAGCTGCTAGCAAGAACGCAGGGTTCAAACAACCAGCTATGAGCTGCTCTCCTGCCGCCTACAGTGCCTGTCTCCGCCCACCACCATCGCCACCCACAGAGCTCCTCCGGCCCCCCCCACAACGTTTCACTCACCGTTCCTGCAGGTTAGAACGCAACGACATTCACCCCGCAGCATCACCTTCGTCTAGAATATCACCACTTCACCACCCACACACGCCGCCCTCTACCAGCGCCCACACAGCCACCTTCCACCACCGCCCACAGCGTCTCCCCACCACCACTCAGCCGCTCCCGCCGCCCACACGACCCCCCTCTCCTTCAACCGCCGCGTGCCACCCGCTTCCAGTCATGAGTGTAAGCTGGAAGAGAGACTCACCGTCACATACTTTCAATTACCGCTGTTGACCCCGTTACCTCCCACCACCGCCGTCCACTACCATTACGGCCACCATAACTCTGCGGCAAACCAGGCGACCTACTCCCATGACCACCGGCCTCTGACTAGTACCACGACCTACCTGAGTAAAGATGACACAAGGCTACAATGAACAAGAACTATGCCTAGTCAGTGAGAGGCTACCATGATCGGGAATTATCATGATAACCCAGATATAAAACTA